GTATATATTAAACTACTTGTTTAGACAGTTATGTGGCAAGGAGGGCAAGGAGGGTATGATAATGATACGTAGTGTGACTTCCTATTGACTACGCTAAGATACGGCAGCCCAAAGTGGGTGACCGTTGAAGGACACCTGAAAGAACCTGCAGAATAAACACAACAAAATACAACAGAAACAGTAAAAACGGAAAAAATCAGCAGCGTGTCCAATATGGTCCAGCAGCACTGGTCATCCACTGGCCTGGGCATCCACACAGCAAACAGCCCCTTGACTGGGGATCAGCAGCAAATAAGCCTAAATAAGCAGGAACAGTCAGGGAAACCAGCAGCAAGCTGAAGACCAACAAACATCAGCGGCATCAGAGGGCATGAAGCAGGAAAGATGCACCTTAATGACGATCACCGGTGTTTTAATCTACACTGGAGTCAATTTGATATGCTAATAAGAGCTACAAGAATGCTCAAAAGGGAAGTAAAGGGGAGGGAAACACCCACCCCACTGCTGTCATTTATTTAAATGTGTAGAACAATAAAAACATTAATGGTGTGATGTTCACAAACCAATCATTCGCAGGGAATGAGTCCCGTACAGGAACTACACACTCGCGTTCACTCACCTGCAAAGATTTGTTCTTTTTGTTGTTCTGCTTGTCCTCAGAAATATGACATGAATGCCAACTTAACTCCTAAGTTAGCCCCCGTGCAAAGCTTATTGCCATATGCCCCACTTAGTAGTTGTTCTTCAAGCCTCCATTTTTATCAGATAAGGATGCAGTGGTGACGAAATCTGACTTTTATTTTTGTTTTATTTATATTTGACAGACTAGTAATATGTTTAATTTCATCATTGTTATTAACGCATATTATAGTCACGTTTTTGTTTTAGTTACCGTCAGGCAAAAACCCTTTGTCAAGCCATATTTTTGGCAACAAAATTAACAGTGGAGGCACTAACAGGTATCACAAACAGGTGTGAGTGCAAGCAAACAAACTATCTCAATGGAAACTGTACAATTTAACTGCTGTAAAATCTCTTTCAATGCGGTCAATCCCTTATGTTTTTCCTTTTTTTGCTTCTGGAATTTTGGCACTTTTTTAATGGGTGGGTGGGCTTTTGAAGAGAGTGTACACCTTACACGTCAACTGGAATTTGGAACGTACACTCCTTTAACCATCAAAGCACGCCCACTCCATGATACTTCAGAGAATCGCAATATGGCCAGTTTTCAGCCGGTACCGATGACGAGGCTGAAAGGAATTTGTTTTCGCTATGAGAAACTTAGCAAAATCTTGGTGTACTTTCATGAAGACACAAGTCACATTGATATCTCAGAGCACAGATGTTTTTACTTTGAAAAATACTTTGTTATAACCATGACAGCGGAAGTACTTCTGGTTCATTATTCTTGCTTATTCTTGCTTGCTTCATGGTACTTTACTAAGTGCCGTAAGTGAAACAGCTGGCGGACTCGGAATGTGGAAGAGAGTGTGCATATAGTGTACTGGATTTTGGAGATACATCATTTTCATGATTTTAACCAAGAATTGTTAGCATTTGAACTCATTACCTGACCAAGTGATGAGCTGGTAGGTGTGTGTTTTTAACAAACAAATACATGACTTATTAGTGGTATTTAGCTTACTCCTTAACACTATTTAGTAGTGCTGGGCAAGTTAACGCGTTAATATCGCGTTAACGCAGTACTTTATTAACGCCGACAATTATTTTATCGCGAATTAACGCAGTTTATTATATCAGTAGTAGTATTATTTTGAAAGTCTGTTGCTCGCTGGCTCTGAATCAGAGCATGTGAGCGGAGTGGAGCGGAGCGTGAGCGAGGAGCGGAGCCGGCTGAATTTGGTCAGA